AGGGTACAATCAGATTCCTGGTAAAGACTACAAAGACACTTTTTCTCCAGTTGCCAAGTTAACAACTGTCAGATTTCTTATTGCTCTGGCCACTGCCCACAATTGGCCCTTGCATCAACTAGATATTAACAATGCCTTCCTTCATGGATATTTGGATGAAGAAGTTTATATGGTGCCACCACAAGGTTACACCAAGGCCAAACAAGGAGAATTCTGCAGATTGAAGAGGTCTTTATATGGGCTGAAACAAGCTTCCAGGCAGTGGAACATTGAATTATCCAAATATCTTTCTTCTTTGGGATTTTCTAAGTCCAAGCATGATCATTCTCTATTTATTAGAAAGTCAAATGGGAAATTTTTAGCCCTACTGGTTTATGTTGATGATGTTTTACTCACTGGGGAAGATTCTACACAGATCCAGGAAGTTAAGGCTCAACTTCACACTAAGTTTACTATAAAGAACTTGGGCATGGCCAGGTATTTCCTAGGCATGGAAATCTCTCGTTCCTCAATAGGCACTTTCCTAAATCAAAGGAAGTATATTCTTGACCTTCTCATGGATGCTGGAATTCCTACAGATGCTACTGCTGCGTTTCCTTTACCAAGGAACCTCAAATTATCCCACAATTCTGGTCACCCTATTGATGACCCTGCCAAATTTAGACAGATAATTGGGAGGTTGCTTTACTTGGGCCTGACAAGGCCAGACATATCTTATGCTGTTCAGCATTTATCTCAGTTTATGCAAACGCCAACTACTGAGCACCTTAAAGCTGCTCACCACATACTACATTACTTAAGGAGTACAACCAGCATGGGCCTATTTTATCCAGTTACTTCTGATTTGAAAATAAGGGGTTTTTGTGATGCTGATTGGGCATCATGCAAAATGACTTCTAGGTCTCTAACTGGATATTGTGTGTTCTTGGGCCAAGCTCTCATATCTTGGAAGACCAAGAAGCAGAAAACTGTATCCAAATCATCTGCAGAGGCTGAATATAGAGCTATGTCAGCAACCACTTCAGAACTAGAATGGATCAGCTATCTGTGCAATGATCTTGTTGTGCCTTTGCAACTACCTATCATTTTATTCTGTGATAACAAGGCAGCCATTCACATTGCTTCAAACCCTGTCTTCCATGAACGAACGAAGCACCTCAACATAGATTGCCATTACACTCGAGATAAAATTTCTGAAGGGTTCCTTCAGACAGCATTTGTTCCTTCAAGACTGCAACTTGCAGACATTCTTACCAAGCCATTAGGCGCAGTCAGTCACTGGGATTTGGCTTCAAGGATGGGCCTGTTACGTTCACCTCCCAGTCCACCTTGAGGGGGGGATGTAGAGTATATTGGGCTGTATGTAATACATATTGGGCCACAACAAATATCTTGGGCTACCAGCTTTCTTGTTAGTTAGTTGGGGTTTGTTATGTTCCTGTTAGTTAGTTAGCATTCTGTTAGATGGGCTCATATGCCTCTTTAAATACTGCTTCTGTATTCCTGTTATGATGATGAAATACGAGATATTCTTCTTCTTCTTCATTTTCATTCTCTCGCCATTAGCTTTACAGAATGTATAGTATTGGCATGCCTTGTGATGATGTCATGGATTGAATAGTTAGATAATAACTTTTGCTTGGTAATTGGTTGAAATGTTTATTTAAATTAGAATTTACCTATGCATTTCTCTTATATTAGTTTACATGTTATATAATGTTGTTTTCATTACAGTCAAGAGAATGAGAGTAACTCTTGTAACTTGCACCAGAGATTAGCAATGAGGTAAACTCTTGTTTGTCGCCAACTATCTTGATAAGTTCTCAGTGACCTAAATTCAATTCTAGCTGCAGCATTCACTTAATTCAGAGAGTCATATCAGGTGGTCAAAAAGGCTCGGTATTTATAATATGGTATGAATAAACCAATATATGTTTAGCTATGTACCTTGCTTTCTGACCTATTTTATTTATCTTTCTATCATATATAAATGGGAACGAGTGATAAGAGTGCAGTCCTTAGCAATAGTCCACTTTTCTTGTAGAAAAATTAGTTCTCTATGCTATGAAAATTATACTTTAAGTCGCTTGATCATTTCTACCCCTCAGTGTTGTTAGTCCCAGTTCTTCTCGCGCCGCAATGAAATGGTTTGGTGTCTGATACTTCTTTTGGGGGCTTTGCTTAGTTTGTGGAAGTGTTAATGAATCATATGTAAACATTCAAAATGCAAATAAGATTTTTCAAGGAGATGCGAAGCACTGCATCAAAACTTGTAAAGGAACATCACTGAAATGTTGAACTTAATAAACTACATTTTAAAATTAATAAAACTATTGCAGATTCTCTCCTATTTCAGTTTTGCTTGTCATCGATCTTGGGTCAGATATTGCTTGGTTAGTAGCAGCTTTAAATTCAAAAACAAATTTTTCCCATTAGTGAACTCTTAAAATGACAAATTTAACTTTCTTATTTAAGTAGAAATCTTCACATACATTCCTTGAAAAATATAATAGTTAGACATGTTTATTAAAGAGAACCTGCCTTACAATGGTTAGCTTTATTGTTTTAGTAGAAGAGGGATATATTACATATACCACAAGAAATGCAGTGTTTAATGATGAGAAATAGCATTAAACTTGGCACATATTATGTGCTTTTGACAATTAATGAAGTAAGGCATTAAGCTCATTACTTCAAATGTTTTTTCAAACATTCAGTTCCTGAAATATATAATACTCCGTATTATTTTTAGATAGGCATATGTCAATAAATTTGATGGAGTTCAAAAAGTACATAGTACATGAAAATGAATTTATACTTTTGATGGACATGCATATTTAGTTTACTGCTTATCATTTTTTTCATTTCTTTAGAGTGATGCGTATTATCCAAATTTCGAAGTACGTGTAAGTAGTGATTAACTTTTAATTTTAGATTTAAAAAATAAAAACAATGTCAATGATTATTTTTAGAAATTAATACTTTGTAACTTTTTTACACTAAAGAAGTGAATATACATCTCTGATAGGAGACAAAGATCTGTCTTGCAAGAGACTTGGTTCTTTCTCACATCCATTTTTACTACGTTTTGTCAATGATTATTTTTAAAATTAATACCACTCCCTACATACCCAAAAAAGTTCACACTAGATTTCTCTTCTTTAAACAAATTTTACCCACATTTCACTTTTGAGTACTTTTCTTATGCATCATGAAGTCAAACTATGAATCTTTTTGGGGATAGAAGGAGTACAAAATATATTGCACAAAAAATATGTACATCCCTATCGATTATTCTTATTTTCACTTGAATTCCCCATGTCCCAATTCTTATGTTCGTTATCTTTTTTACTTTGTCCTACTATTAGGCCTCTTTCTACATACAAAAACTATTCTCGTTCTCAAAATGACAATATTTTTCTCATCACATCTACATAGCATTTGCTTATTCCTTTCAATCCTTTGAGAAAATCATATTGTCCCATCGTTTGTGGCTGTTCATATCTATCTGCATGCACACATAAAGAACATTGATGAAACAGTCTTTAAGATTATAGAGGGAGCCCTAAGCTAGCACATTGGCAGCTATGTTACTATTTTAAGTTTTATGGGAAGTAAATTTTGTGGGCAGGGAATTAGGGAACATCATTTTCTTCCCTGTGTCTTTCTCCTATAGTTTCTTCTTTTCAAGGATAATATACTTTGTATTTCTGTAGATGAGTTGTGATGGTTACATGTAATTGTGCAAACAACCCTTTAGTTTTCTTTGCTCGTACCTCGAGTCAACTTTTGCAGCTGGTTGATGCCCATTCCCCAACCACCGTTACTACTGCAATAATTTCTCTAAAGATTCAACCATGATTTTCTATCTCCTTGGAGCATTGGCAGAATATATATGCGATGCCAACTTGTTTCAGGGTCCGTTTGGTACACGGAATTGAATTGGAAATAAAATTCCATGGGATTCAATTCACCAATTCCAATTCATTTTTTGCACTACCAATTCCAAATCCACATAAGTTTTGTGGTACCAAACACGAGAATTGGAATTGAAGTCTTCAATTCCAATTCCATAATTTGAATTCCGTGTACCAAACGGGGCCTTAGTGTTTTGGTTCTGACTCTCACTGTCTGGTATGATTTTTCTCAATACAATATAATACGTTTCTGATGGCATTTTAAATTCTCAATAGAGGGTCGTGGTAGATGTACATATGTTGTTATTTTTGTATGACTAGCGGCTCAAGTGTTGAAGTTAATTATGATTAATGAGTTTGACAATTACATATAAAAATAGAGTAATGCTAGAGTCACAAACAAGTAGTTCACAAAATTCACAAACTTGTCTTTTTAACACTTTCCTAGAAATAAGATGCACTCAAATAATAAAAGATATTTTAATTTAAAATCCACAAAAGGCAAGTTTGTGAAGTTTGTGAACTTTATGTGTGTGACTCTAGCATTTTCCATAAAAATAATACTCTAAAAGTTGTATTCCCCAAAAATAATTTGTCGGGTGTTTATGCTTAACCTTTTGATATTAGTCAAAAAGTTGTTTCCATAATCCATAATGCAAAAAAAAGTTGTCTTCATGATGGTAAGTATTTTCAAACATTTGGTTTGTATGGGAAACAAGTGCCAGGTTTCTAAATATTGTAATTGAAATTTTAATTAAAACAAAAATAGTTATTCGGAACTTTTATTATTTTGACCATTTGCTTGTAATCATTAAACATCTTGTTTACAATTATTGGCATTATTCTTATATATTTACTACCCGTTCTATTAAAGATAACGGAACTTAAAACTAATTCCGTTTTGACAGTTCAGGACCCCGGTCTTTACTGCGCTTTTCTCGGCTTCTTTAATAAGCAGCAGAGAATGAATTTTCATTTTCCTCCATAGATGAGTATCTCTCTGGTCTTTCAATTCCTCCAAGAATCTGAGTTTATATCTGAATATCTTAATTGATAACATGGTATCAGAGCGAGATTCTATCCCGTCTTGATCCGTTCATCACTTCGTCATTCTGAATCTTCAATTTCTTCAGATTCTGCATTTTTTTCTAGAAGATGTCCGGCGCAACTCCGGCGACGGCAACACCACTGGTTGATTGCAATCACGTGCTATACATTCATCCCTCAGATCCTTCCAATTACAAGCTTGCCACAAAACCTTTGAATGGCGATAATTACAGTCATTGGAAACGCTGTTCTGAAGTTTCTCTCTCTGCGAGGAACAAGCTTGATATCGTCCTTGGGAGGTTCCCTAAACCTGCGGATGATTCACCTCTATCACCATATTGGGCTCGCTGCAACAATCTGGTAATTTCGTGGCTCCTTCATTCAATTGAAAATGATATTTGTGAAAGTGTCATATATTGTACCACTGCTCAAGAAATTTGGGAAGAACTTGAGCAACGATATGACCAAGCCAATGATCCCAAGATTTTCCAATTACAGCAAGAGTTAAGTAATCTTTCCCAAGGAAGTCAATCTGTTGCGGTTTATTTTGGAAAAATGAAGTCTCTATGGGATGCACTTACTGCAATTACACAGATCCCATCATGTACCTGTGAATCCAGTCAAGCTATGACAATTTATATACAAAATCAAAGGCTTATGCAATTTTTGATGGGTCTCAATCCTGATTACAAAGTTACCAGGGGAAATATTCTAATGATCAGACCCCTCCCTAGCCCAAATGATGCTTACAATCTGATTCTACAAGAAGAAAAACAAAGAGAAATTTCCCCTTCTGCCATTTTAAATCCTGAAGCTTCTGTCATGGCAATTCAACATGCTAAAACTTCTGGTGCTCCTGCACATTATGGACCTTCCCGACCTTTTTCCTCCCTCAAAAACACTGGTCCCAACAAGAATTCGTACTACTGTACTCATTGGTCATTCTAATGAAAGGTGCTTTAAGCTTCATCCTGAGTTGCGGAATCAAAGGAATAGAAAGTTCCCTCCTCAAGCACATATGACCAATGTTGATGACACCACACCTCCTGTTCTCTCATATGACATGTATCATCAACTGGTGGAACTTTTAAAGAGGTCAAACAACCCCAATTCAGAGACTACATATTCAGATTACTCTGCTATGCTTGCAGGTAAATGTGTTTCTCTTGTCCTCATATAATCACAATACGTGGATAATCGATAGTGGGGCCACAGATCACATTTGCCCTCACCTAGCATTATTTGATACTTACACTACACCTCTAGTAAAGTGTAATATCACCATCCCTGATGGATCCAAAGTTCCTGTAGCACATATTGGCACAGTTAAACTTTCTGCAACTATTACCCTTCATAATGTGTTGCATGTGTCACAGTTTCATTTCAATCTCTTGTCAGCCAGCAAGTTGGCTCAACAAATGTCCACACAGATTGTCTTGACTTCTACAAATTGTTACATTCAGGACCCTTTGACGAACAAGCTACAGGACCTTGGTAAAGCAATCGATGGTTTATACTTGCTGCAAAGATCTCCTACAGATGAACACTTGGATGACACCTCTGTGAATACACAAAGATTTTTGAATAGTACAACATGTTCTATTTCTATTGATGTTTGGCATTGTCGCCTTGGACATACTCCTCTACATTCCATAAAACATGTGATTTCTGGAGACAAATGTAGTAGTAGACAACTCTCTACCTGTAATGTTTGCCCAAAGGCCAAATTCCATAGATTGCCTTTTCCTACAAGTCAATCCCAGAGTACTCAGATTTTTCAATTAATACATGTTGATATTTGGGGTGCTTATTCTACTCCAACATATAATGGTTTTAGATTTTTTCTTACTATAGTTGATGATTACTCAAGAGCCACATGGGTTCATCTTCTTTCTCATAAAAGTAATGCTCTCCCTATTTTGAAATCATTCATAACATATGTTGAGAAACAATTTGGGACCACTGTAAAGAGCATAAGATCAGATAGTGGTGCAGAATTTTCTGAGAAAGAGGCCATCCAGTTCTATAATTCAAAAGGGATTCTTCATCAAACTTCATGTGTTGACACCCCTCAACATAATGGCAAAGTAGAAAGGAAGCACAAATCCCTCCTGGAAATTGCACGGTCTCTCCAACTACAAGCCAATTTACCTTTACAATATTGGGGAGAATGCATTTTGACTGCCACTTACTTGCTCAACAGACTACCCTCTGTTGTTTTACAACACCACACCCCATATGAACTCTTACATAATCATTTGCCTTCTTATGATCATTTAAAGGTTTTTGGCTGCCTATGCTTCATTGCCACTTTGAAGAGAAATAGAACCAAATTCCAACCTAGAGCTCACAATGGTGTTTTTTTGGGATATTCTTATGGCAAAAAGGCATATATTGTACTTGATCTTGAGACCCGCAAAGTGCTACACTCTAGAGATGTTATTTTTAAGGAAAACATATTTCCTTTCCATTCCAAACATCTCTTTGATCAATTTTCTTCAATCCCATTACCTACATCAATGGATTGTTCCATTTTCCATGATGATCAAACTACATGTTCTCTAGATCAACCACAATCATCAACACCACCCTCCACTTCATCCATACCACAACAAATACAACCCTCCACTTCATCCATACCACTCCGCAGATCTTCCAGGCCCTCAAAAACCCCATCTTATTTAAAAGATTACCAATGCTTGTCTTCTACAACCACTCACTGGTGTAACTTGGTTCAATATGATGCTTTACCAGCCATCTCCCAAGCTCACATCACTCACATGGAGCAACACCAGGAACCCAAAACATACAAGGAGGCAACTTCACAACCATGCTGGATTGAGGCTATGCAAAGAGAACTTTCTGCTTTAAAACTCAACAACACTTGGACAGAGGTTACGCTCCCCATTGGCAAGAAAGCTATTCCTTCAAAATGGGTTTATAAGGTCAAACTCAAAGCAGATGGTACCTTAGAGAGATACAAAGCCCGGATGGTTATTCGTGGTGATACCCAAAAAGAGGGCATTGATTATGAGGAGACCTCTCCTGTTGTCAAAATGCCTACCATCCGAGCCATCATTGCTTTGGCTGCACACAAACAATGGAACATCTATCAGTTGGATGTAGATAACGCATTTCTGCATGGAGACCTCCGGGAAGAAGTTTACATGAAGATGCCCCAAGGATTGGACAATCCTGATAACAAAGTATGCAGATTACACAAATCACTATATGGTTTAAAACAGGCTTCTAGAGAATGGTTCACAAAACTGACTAATACCTTACACCTTCTAGGTTACACTCAGTCTAAGAATGACTATTCCCTCTTTCTTAAACGCCATGGTCCTCACATCACAATCGTGGCAGTCTACGTAGACGACATTATGGTTACAGGTTCCAATCCTACAGAGATCACTCAGCTCAAAACAAGTCTTCATGGACTTTTTGGAATCAAAGACTTGGGCCTTCTCAATTACTTCTTGGGTTTCGAGGTTACCCATGTCCGAGATGGTATTACTCTCACCCAAAAGAAGTTCACCAAAGAACTTCTACAACTGGCTCACGTCCCAATAACCACTACTGCAGCAACACCCCTACCTCTTCACTGCAAGTTACTTCCAACTGATGGTGATTTACTTCCAGATGCTACATATTACAGGATGATGGTGGGAAAACTAAATTTCCTTACTCATACAAGGCCAGACCTTGCTTTCACGGCTCAGTTACTCAGTCAGTTCATGCAATCCCCTCACTCCTCACATCTTAAGGCATTAGAACATGTTTTAAAGTATCTTAATGGTACTCTTGGTCAAGGAATCCTCATGTCTGCTGCTTCACAAGTATCTTTGCATGCTTTTTCAGATTTAGACTGGCATCTTGCCCTATTTCTCGCAAATCAGTCACTGGCTATATATTGATGTTGGGTAAATCTCCCATTAGTTAGAAAAGTAAAAAGCAAAGCACTGTTTCTCGCTCTTCAGCAGAGTCTAAATACAGAGCAATGGCACATGCTTCTGCAGAAACTGTTTGGTTGGTTCGCCTGCTAGAAGAACTTGGTCTCACAGACTTAAAGCCTGTCTCTCTTCATTGTGACAACCAAAGTGCTTTACATATTGCACGCAACCCCGTTTTTCATGAGAGAACAAAACACATCGAACTAGATTGTCATTTCACACTCGACAAAGTCCTTGAAGGTCTTCTCCAACTGACTTATCTTCCCACTACATCTCAATTAGCAGATGTCCTCACCAAAATTCTCCCTTCTTCCCAACATTGGAATCTTTTGCACAAGCTTGGCATGCTTCGTGACCTCTCCCTACCAAGCTTGAAGGGGGGTATTGAAGAAAACGGAACTCAAAACTAATTCTGTTTTGACAGTTCAGGACCCCGGTCTTTACTGCGCTTTTCTCGGCTTCTGTTTACTTTCTTTCCATTTGACACTTTTGTATATAAGCTCTGTAATAGTGACTTTAATAAGCAGCAGAGAATGAATTTTCATTTTCCTCCATTGATGAGTATCTCTCTGGTCTTTCAATTCCTCCAAGAATCTGAGTTTATATCTGAATATCTCAATTGATAACACGTTCAGATGATGCGTTGAACAAATTTATAACCTTTATTCTGGCCATTATTGTCAATACATGCCACTCTAAAGCTACTAGAGACTTTTTCTATGAGACCTTAAATATACGGTCATTATTATCGAATTCATTTTTGTGTCGCATTGGACAAAAAACAATATGCACCAATTCAACCACAATAAATCATATAGAAAAAATATTAATTTTTTTGGGATAAAACTATGATCGGGCATTCAAATTTGCACAATGCGCGTATAATTCCAGTTTTTCTATATAAATGAGATAACGGGAAGAAGTATCATGCATTTTATTTATCGTGCAACATACATTAATGTCTAGACCCATATATTTATCTGCACTACCTATTTTTATTAAAACTTATAAGATTTGTTAACTAAAATGTTATGGAGTACTTTTTAAATGTGCACAATTACTTTTATTACACTTTATTTGAGAATTAGTAAGATGTTTGCATAAAATAATCAAATTGACAGATACTTTAGAGACGGGGTATCCAACCTAAGGAAGAAGACTTCGAAGATCTAAGACAATGGTCCTGCCAAGAATTGGGGGCGATGGGCCAACAAAGCTAGGATGTCTGAGCGCCAGTATTTTCTATAATCATAATAGTTAGCGATCGGCCTGGCCTGTCAGCCCGGCCCAAATGACATAGATATTTTAAAGAGATGGTTATGTAGTCACGTGACCAGCGCGCCAAAGTAGCGAGACTTGGGGAGCAGTCCCCAAGTCTATAAATATCACCCATCTGGCATTGTGGAGGGAGATGACCAATCAACAAATCCTTCAAGCTTTGTAACCCAGTAATTTATTAATCAACACATAATCATTCTCTGATTGTACTTTCTCTCTCTAGACTTCTTTTGAGTTTGTGGAGATCTCTCGCTACCAGGTCTCCGTGTGTAACACCTCAACCCGCATAACTCGAATACATAGAATAACAAATCGGAATACTACCAATCTGGTATCTAAACATATAATATTATTTTTAAATAATATAAAACATCAATTTCAACTTTAAATAAAAAAACATTCATCAGAGTAATTAGAACAAGTGTGGAAGCTTAAGTGAGTACTCAAGACATAACTTAAGAATCCAAGCCCGTAAAAGTAATAATACATTATTTAGAAATAAATAAGATTTCAAAATACTCAAGAATACCCATGCACATCTCTTCATCTTCATCGCCCTTCGGGATTGGGTCTAGATTCATCTTGACCCTGTTACCTGCGTGTAGCAAAACAAATACACTACACGCTCAAGAACGACGCTAAGTAAGAAATATCTAACATTCGGTCACACATATAAACGAACTCACTAGTTCACAAAATCGTATGATATCATGCACACAAACATAGCATAAACATCATCACCTACATTTCATAACATTATTCATCATTTCAAATATGAGTATTACGTTTTTGTTTCTCTAGCTAGTCACTTGACTTAAATTTATTCCAGACTCATAACATAAGTTAGGCTAAGACTTAATTATTCTTAACTTACTTATGGAGTCATGACCTTCTCCTTCGGAATGAAGGTTACGCTCAACCAACAAAGAAGTTCCTCGTTGGGTGGGAGAGATCCCTGTTCCCTTAAGAACGACAGTTCACAGATCCCCATACTTACATTTTTACCCGAATATGTTGGAACACACTTTACAAAAACATTGTACTAAAGCGATGTTCAGTTTTTGACAAGTTTTCATAAATGCCAAACTATCGTGGATATAAAGAAGCTTCGTTGAACATCTCAAGGTGAGAAACCAAGCTTGGCACAAGACCCAAAAACATCAAGAACAAAGACCAAGACAAAGGCTTAGACTTAGGATTGAGTTCGTCTAATTGTGATCAAGACCGGCTTTGGTCTTCAAGTATTAGTTCTCAAAAACTAAAACACATTTTAAAAAATCATGAAATTATTTTTATGCATCACCCAAACACGTTTTTCAAAATTTTTTAATTTTCCAAAATCAGCTGGTTGTTGCCCCAACCAAAACCACAATGTTCGGCGTTCGATTTTTGGCATTGGTTTTCGAAGTCCAAATCGACAAAGTGGTTTTTAACTTTATATAATTTGTTTTCACTTCAGGACATATTTAAATGGTTTCCCAACAAAAACTTTTTAAAAACCACCTTTGTTTTTTTGGTCTTTGGTAAAAAACCTAAAAACTATCTTTAACTTGGTGATCCGTGATTTTTAAGTTTTTATACTTAGTTTCTAAATAAAATGCATCAAATAATTATTTCAAACGCTTAGTTTTTAATTTGGGAAAATTTAATTTTTGGAATTGGCTTTTGGCGTTGGCTGGCAAAACCATGATTTTGAGGACCAGACCCGACAGCGATGTTGGAACCTCAACAATGCTGTTTTGGCCAAGTATGGGAAATCCTAACTTTTGCAGTAGAATTCAAAAGAACGATGTTGGAGTGTAAAAATCGATGTTTGGCTAGGCCTGAAAAAAAAATAAATTTGGTAGTTGATAACTTAACAACGATGTAGGTTTATGCTACAACGATGTTGGAGCCAAGGCTTGAAAACCTTCCTTTGGCAGTAGAGTTTAGAATATTGATGTTCAATACTGAATATTGATGCTGGGTCCTGACCGTTGGAAGAAATTTAAGACAAAATATTTCCTTATTTGGAAGTCAACACTTACATGGGTTTATAACATCGATGTTGAGATGACCGTTTGACAATTCAAAAGGAAAGTCAAAGCCAGAACAGTGATGTTCAGTACATGAACATCAATGTTAGGCATTTTTTAGTAGATCCACTTTTGATTTCATTTCCACAAATCATGCCAATCAACCTCAATCTTCTCCCAGCCATTGTGGCTCATTTTGGGTATGAAAAGAGGTCTCTTGGTACTTTAACTCACAACTCTTCACAACTTAAATACTCTTTCATTGCATTGTTCATACACATTTGAGAGTCATTTCGTGAAGATATTGTTGTGTTCTTGAGCGTTCTGTATTTTACTCAATATCTACTCTTAAGGGGAGTCTTGTTCTTGAGTGTTTAAGTGTTTTATACACTTGAAGTGATGCTTGTTCCCTTGGTTGAAGGAAGAGTATATTCCTTTGGGTTGAAGTCTTGGAGTGTTGTATCTCTGACCAAACATTGTTGAGGCTCGTGTGACTCGAGTTCTCAAGTTGTACCGATTTGTTAAGCACCCGTAAGCTTAACGGAGTTAGTAGGACTTTCGAGAGAGTATCTCGTGGTGAACCAGTATAAAATTTGGTGTACATTTCTTTATGCTCTTTACTTTTCGCTTACTTTGTTTTAATTTCTTGCGATTTGTTCTAAACGTTATTCACCCCCCTAACGTTGGGCGTTTATTTTAATAATTGGTATCAGAGCCTAACTCTCTTTCAGACTTAACCGTTTGAGAAGAATAAGATCATGGGCTCTTCTTCTCGAAATTTCTATGCAAGAATTGGTGAAGGGCAATCCACCTTGAGGCCACTACTCTTTGATGGAACCAACTATATTTATTGGAAGGAACAACGAAAATCTATATTTGTTCCACAAACTTCTAACTGTGGTTAGTCATAAAAACAGCGAGGAAAGTGCCGATGAAGAAAGAGGGAGAAACAACCATCCCCAAGACCGAGGATGAATACGATGCTGAGGACATAAAAAAGATTGAGAATTATGCCAAAACCATAAACATGATCTATTGTATGGTTAACCCGGATGACTACCGGAAGATATCTTGCTGTTCCACCGTCAAGGAGATGTGAGACGCACTTGAGGTAACTTATGAAGGCACGGACTAGATACGTTAAGCTAAAATTGATTTCCTAACCCAAGAATATGAAATGTTCAGGATGAAAGAAAATGAGAAGAATGACAACAAGTTTGATCATTTTTCAAAGATCGTCGACGATCTTCACGTCCTAAAGAAGACATGTGTCAACAAGAATCTCGTGCGGAAGATCCTGCGAAGCTTGACACCCGAATGGCATTCCAAAGCCGACACCATATATGAATCAATCAGCATCTCTAGTCTCTTATGAATCTATTCACTACAAAAAACTACTGAAATCGCAACAGAATTATTCCGTCGCCAAAGCATGATTTCCGTAGGGAATCGGCCTAGCGACGGAAATTCAAATGTTATTCCGTCGTTATTTTTTCGTAGGGAAACTGCTGAAATCGCGACGGTTTGTATTCCGTCGTTATTTTTCGTTAGTAATAAGTTTAACGACAGATTATTTATTCCGTTGCTAGGCTACGACGGAATTAGCGACGGAATGAGGCGACGGAATTAACGACAGAAAATTTCCGTCACTAAGATTAACGACGGTTTTAGCTACCGTTTCTGCATTTTGAGCATACAGCGACGGAAATGCTATTCCGTCGCCAAATCTGTCGCCAATTTTACAGCATCAATTTCACACAACATCCATAGCTGCCATTGTGGTTCTGTCTGCGAAATCGGAGAAACGGAGAGGAGTTCTCGTTTTTAGATCTGTTTTTGGCAACGGATTTAGCGACGGAAAAATTCCATCGTTTCAATTATATTCTTTTACCGAAGGAATTTTTTCTGTCGTCTAATATGCCGCGCACTACCTCCCGCCAATACGGAGCGACGGAATGCTGATTCTGTCGTTAATTATGGTAGGCGTAAAATTCCATCGCTGAATCCATCGTCGTTAGCGTCAAATTGCATTCCATTGCTATAATCCGTCGTTTTTTTGCGTTTTCTTGTAGTTATTGTCCTTAACCCGTCTTTGGATGAACAAAGGAGAAAGGGAATAACGCTCAAAGCCACTGCGACTGAGAAACCCATGGAGGAAGACTCCAACAAAGAAGACAACGAGTTTGGTCTTGTTATCAAAGAGTTCCACAAGTTCATGAAGAAAGGATATGAAAGAAAAGGAAAGAAGCATGATGGTCCCCAAAATGCTATGGTTGTGGTGAACTTCAAATCTTTGATTGAATCCCCAGACCACCCATCTATCTTTGTACCTAGTTAACCCACATGTAGGGCCAAGTGTGTGATGGAAAAGCCATTTACCAGTTATAATGTTTTGAGAGGGGGTGGGGGATACTAGTTTCCATGTGTCATTTTTAACCAATGCATTAAATTCATCACAGATAGCAACATGTCTATTAGGATCTTTAAGTGCACTTCAGTAACTTGGGGGTAGAGGGGATATATGGGCTAAGGTGTTAAGATTTAGTATTTGTTTAGGGCACGATACACCAACCTAAGAATGAGTGACCATGGGGTGAATATTGAGAGGGGGAGAAGACTGTGTCGGTTGGGTGGGTGGGGTATTGGGGGTGTGTCTGATGGGGTTTTGGGCTGAGGGGTTGGTGGCAGATGGTCGTGGACTGGGACGAGGGAGGTATTGGATGGGAAGACCGAGCCGAGGGGGGAAGGGGGTAGGGGTGGCCAAGAACCGAAAAATGGGGGGGGGGGTCATCGCTTAGAGTTTCTAGGATGTTGAGGTCATTGGGAGAGTTGTTATGTGCGAAGATAACATGTCGGGAAACAATAATTTTATTTTTTGGAGGTTTAGGCAACGGTAGCCACTTTGGCTGGTGGGGTAGCCAAGAAAATGCAACGAG